GAAATAACCGCGGCATCACCACGGTCCACGAGGTCGGCCACTGGTTCGGCTTGATGCACACCTTCGAGGGCGGATGCGAAGGGAACGGCGACTTCGTCGACGATACGCCCGCCGAGAAGGAGGCCACCTATCAGTGCACCGTTGGACTCGACACTTGTCCCGACCAGCCGGGCTTGGACTCAATCCACAACTACATGGCGTATACCAATGAGTGAGTTGCTTTGACCGTGCATTGATCGAGATCATATGCTGATGCTAGTGCAGTGACTGCATAGACGAATTGGGCGAATTCACCCCTGGACAAATTGCCCGGATGCACGCTCAGTGGAGCGAGTTTCGTGACAAGACGTAGATGATGGTATGAGAAGGGGTGTTGAGAGGTGTTTGAAGATTGCATAGTATGGTAGCCTGTTCTTTGGCGGCATTTGCATTGGGTTGGCGTTCGGCTCGTCTATATGGTGGCTGTATCGAGATTGTGTAGATACAGCGGCGACAGTAATCGATGTTTCCCTGCAACCTGGCCGGCTCTGTTTGCTGCGGTGCTCCATCTTCGGCTGGTCAAGTCAGACCGCAGGCTGTCGCGATGATCTGGTCGAATGATGTCATTGTGGTTACCTAGCCGCTAGGCCAGTTCAAATCGCATTGTCAAACAGATAAAACAAGCAAAAGAGAGACTTGTGAGGGAAGGATACTGATCGGTCGAAAACACCGCAGTCGCAAAAGTTGGACAGAGACATCGCGGTTTGCAGGCAGGACGCCGACGGGATGGCTACCATCGGCTCGGGACCCATTTTGGCCCTACCGAGGATGGATAACAGTAGCCTTCGTATGGCACTCGGAAGATGCGTGGTGCCTGATGAACAGTTTCATCCGTGCACTTGCAAATTAGGCGCGAGGGCGTGTTGCGGGCAATCACCGCCCCCGCCGCGTCCAAGAGCTGCTAACTGATAACGCCGATGACGGCGAAGCATTGCCCCTGGTGAGTTATGTCGTCACGATGTTGAGATTTCGCGATCCGCTTGCCCCCCCACAATTGCCGCGGACAAGCACACCCGGCAGCTCAGGCAGTGGCCCAGCGGCCCTGATAATAACCCACGCTAAGTTTCTTCAACCCGCTGCATGCGCTTGCTTGCCCCATTGACTTCTCCTCTTGCTGCACCCCTCATCCCAATTGACCCCTCAGTTTGACATCTTCAACTTTTCCACCAAGCACAACGACTGCAAAACCCTTTCATCATGTCGGGCAATCCAGTTGTGGCGAGCGCCTATGACCCCAAGGACATGAAGTTCCGCTACCTGGGGAACACTGGTTTGCAGGTCTCGGTCTTCTCCCTTGGCGGCTGGCTCACATACGGCGGGACACAAAAGGGATCGATTGTGAAGGAGATCTTGCAGACGGCCTGGGACTATGGCATCGTACGTTGATCGTGGGGTGCGTCGCTCTGCCATGTGCTGACAATTCCTCTAGCAAACATTCGACACTGCCGAGACGTACGCTAATGGCGCTTCCGAGGTCGAGATGGGCGCGGCGCTGAAGGAGCTGGGCTGGCCCCGCGACGAGTATGTGCTCACCACCAAGGTGTTCTTTGGCACAGGTACGACCTCCTACCTCCGGATATGAACGGCGGGATGGCTGATGATAGCGCAGGTCGCAAAGAGCCGAATACGCGTGGCTTGAGCCGTAAGCACATCGTCGAGGGCCTGAAGTCGTCGTTGAAGCGCCTCGACCAGCCGTATGTCGATATCGTTTTTGCGCACCGCCCCGACCCTGCTACCCCCATGCTCGAGATCGTCGAGGCTTTTACTCAGGTTATCCGCAACCTGAACCTGGCCTACTACTGGGGAACCAGCGAGTGGAGCGCTGTCCAAATCACCGAGGCCGTCCAGCTGGCCGAGAAGCACAACCTCATCGCCCCCGTTGTCGAGCAGCCGCAGTACAACGCCTTCCACCGCGAGCGCTTCGAGGTCGAGTACGCCCCGCTGTTCAGGCAGTACGGGTATGGCACTACCATCTGGTCTCCGCTGGCCAGCGGCTTGTTGACTGGCAAGTACAACGAAGGCATCCCTGAAGATTCGCGATTTGCCACCAACCCGGCATTCTTCGAGAACACGGTCAAGCAGCTCAAGTCTCCTGAGGGACAGGCCAAGATTGAGAAGGTCCGCAAGCTCACGGCCATTGCGGAGCGCTTGGGCGCCAGCGTCACCCATCTCTCGCTTGCGTGGGCCGCCAGCAACCCCAACGTCAGCACTGTTATCCTTGGTGCCACTAAGATCGATCAAATCCACGACAACCTAAAGGCACTCGCCCTCATTGACAAGTTGACCCCCGACATCCTCAAGGAGATCGAGGAGGTGTTGGACAACAAGCCGGCTGGCCCGAACACTTTCGGACGCAACAGGTAAGGCAGAAGGGCAGTTTCTGCATTGGCTAGGACCGCAAAAGATGCGTGAATCCATGGGCCACACTCTGTTCATACCGTGTTGTACATAGGCAGCAAAAGATAGAGCTCATATGTGGGTCACAACGAATCAGTCAAGGCTCAACTCGACCAGCTGACGGAGGTACTGATCGACCCAATCCTCCGAAGCCCATGGCATCGTGCCCCTTGTGTATCATCGTTTCGAATGTGTGCCCGCGAGCGACCAGCATCAGATAGAGGACTGACTTCCGGAAGCTCTTGAGGCGGCGTCATATGGCGAGGACTCCTAGGTCCCTCATCGACAGTGGCCGCGAGCGCGGCGCGGTAGTCGACGTCGCAGTCATATGCTCGCGCTGGTAGGTCTATGGATAACGTCGCAGTCGGTTCGAGGTCTCGGCGCCAGGTCGGAGCCAGGTCGGCGTCTCGTGGAGACTGGATCGAGGAGTCAGTTCGCTCGGCCGCCACCTTCCATTGCACGAGTCTGTCAGCGGCAGGTCAAATAGGGTGCAGAGGCTTGCGAACGTCAATCCACGCCGGCTCGGGCCATTATCGGGCAGCAAATGGACGCGCTATCGTCGATACGGCTCGTCCACGATGCGAAACTCATGGAGTCGTCGATGGCAAGACGTTGAGACGTTGAGTGCTGACCGGACTGGCGAGAACGAGGAAACCTTGAGCAGCTGGCTGTGTGGAAAGCTTTGCGGGCCGAGCTGCGCTTCTGATTGGGCTAGCGGCTTGGCAGCCGTTGGTTATTGGCACATCGGCGCAACCATTGATTGGGTGCCTGAGGCTGCTTGGTTCTCGCGAGGATGGATGATGGGAGAGCAGCTTGGACGCATCTTGGCCATCGAATGTCGGCAAGCAGTGCAGATATTCGTGTCGTAATTTGTTTGCTCGCGCCTAGTTGCTACTGCACCGGTGCTTTTCTGCCACTTTGTGAGGCTCCCCGCCGCTCGGCCCAATGACCCCTCCACCCCGCGCTGGTGGAGCCCACGCCCGTCGAATGCCGGCCTCTTGGAGTTCGAGCTCACCGTTGGACACTGGCTCGCTCTCAAGGGCAAAACAGGTTTAGTTTCTATTCTACAAACATGATCGGTCAACGGTGTCACTCAGGGCTCTTAGACGCCGCGCCGTTGTGCTACAGCTGCCGTCACATTCCCAGCCGGAGCCTACTGAGCTGCCCGATTCAGCGACGTCGCTGATCCGCCTGTACGGGCTCGCCAACTGGGTCCGAGTTAGCTCGCATCTATCAAGGCGCGCCCAGCGCCTTTCAATGCTACGCAACTGCGATCTGCAGGGCGCGATACTCCACTTCGCCGTTGGAGGGCCAGCAGCTAAAAGTAAGACGGGACCCCGCGATCGCTGTGAGGGTGTCAGACATTACCAACAGAGTAGCGTGCAATGGCTTCAGACGAGATCGTCCTGTTTGATATCCCCACGCGGGCGCCGAGGACTACTTGGTCTCTCAACACTTGGAAGAGTGAGCAGACTTGGTCTCAGCGGGGATTCACGACTGACGCAGACAGCTCGGCTACTCCTTGCTTACAAGGGTCTTGACTTCAAGACAGAATGGGTGAGTGCCCCCATCCTGCGACCACTCTAGGCCGTTTACTTACCCCATCCCTGGTTGAATACCCCGAGATCAAGCCTCGTCTCGAGGGCCAGCACGTCTTTCTCCAACCACCCAAACAAGCCCCTATTCTAACCCACCCTCCAGCATCACACCCCCCTGGAAAGAACCAATCTACACCGTACCTACGGTCCGCTTCCCCGACGGAACCTACATAATGGACAGCCGACGCATCGCAGAAGCCATCGACGAGCGCTACCCCAGCCCGCCGATCCAGCTGGAATCGAAATACTACGCCTGGTTCGAGAAGAACTACTCCGCACTCATGACAGATCTGCAAGGCGTGTACATGCCTCTCATCCCCGCGCGCCTGCTCAACGAAGCGAGCGTGCCGTACTGGTACGAGACGCGCAGCGAGGATGTAGGCATGCCGCTTGATCAACTGGCCAAAGAGCAGGGAGGGCATGTGGCGTGGGGACTTGTGGAGCCGTTGTTGAAGGAGGTGGTGGGGATGTTGAAGGAGAATGGAGATGGGCCGTTCTTTCTGGGGAAGGAGGTGAGCTATGCGGATTTTTGGTGGGCTGGGTTCTTGCTGTTTGTGAAGCGGATTGGGGAGGATTTGTGGGAGGAGTTGATGAGGCGGAGTGGGGGGAATGCGAAGGCGCATGAAGAGTTGTTGGAGGCGGTTAGGGCTTGGTCAGAGAGGAATGATCACTGAGGCGGGACGGCGGTTGATGAGGAAGAGGGTGTTGTCGGCTGAGGTGGTGGAGGGGCAGATGGCGCCCACTGGCAGCCGGACTAAATGCTACTGGGCGCCTGTTACATTGCTGTGAATAACCAATCGCGAGCCAATGTTCATCGTAAACCATGATCCTGAGGGTAGTGGAGTGCAGCTTCGGTAGATCCAGCCCAGCAGGTCATGCTCAGATTTCCACCAAACTTTCGCTCCTGAAGCCCTGGCGCTCCACCTGCCAAAACACATCCCACACTTCTCCATTTTATCAAAATAAGACGAGATGGCCGAGCGGTCTAAGGCGCTACGTTAAGGAGTTCCTTACTAACATCATGATTCATGATTCATGATTCCGTAGTCCTAAAGGGCGTGGGTTCGAATCCCACTCTCGTCATACACATCTCCCCTTCGCTCAGAGGTCTTTTTGCGCCTCGTCAACTATCTCACAATCCCACATTGCTGTCCTTTTGCAGTCAGTTTGCCGTCCTCTGGCCAGGGTCGGACGAATCACTGCTGCACCTCCGTTGGTTTCGGGGTAACCTAGAACCCAGACATGGGAGCAACATAATCGAGCAGTTGCCGCGCCCATTATATCTTCCACATCCAGAGTTGACTAGAGCCTCGCCACGCTCTCCTGGGTCAAGAATGGTCCCCGCCGGACGCAGATCGCCTTCTTGCTCATTCATTCGACATGAGGCAATCCATTGGGGACCGAATTCCTGTTCCCATCATTGGGGAAGCCCGATCTGCCAGCAGAGCGAACGTGCCTAAAGCCCTACCCCGGTAAAATGGGCCCAGGCTCTGGGGCCCAGAGTCGTACGTCCGCCTCGCGAGACAAGTAGGCGACACACTTCGTAGATCACGGCCATGTAACAGCTCTCGCCATCGGCCTGAGCAAATCGGTCCTGAAGAACATAATCGAGTGGCGTTCGGCCTTCCGAGTCCAAAGTGTTAGGGTTCATACCGTGGTCGAAGAGCCATGATGTCAGAGAAGGAGGTGCCAGGTGCAGCACACTGCATGTGTGTTGGTCCTCTTTGAACATGCAGAACTGGTGACATTGAATCTTTGCGTCCAGCCCGGCCTCCACTGCGCTCTCCATCAGGGCATGCACCAGACGGAGTCGGATCGAGGACGCGTCTGCTACAAGACCGATGGGCAGGTTCTGCCCAGATTCTTTATCCTCCTCCTCCAGTAACATCGCACGCTCGATTATCGTTGGGTCACATGTGACACGGTAGCCCGCCGCGAGCAAAATCTGCACTGTATCCAAAATGGCGTAGTTGTCTCCGGATCTGCGCCACGAGGATAAAGCGAAAGAAAGGAGAGGTTTGCGGCTTCGACGGTTAGAAAGAGGTGACACCCGGACTGCTTCACGGAGATACAGTACGAGCGGAGCGAATGCGGCGAATTCGAGAGCCGTCCAGCCGGAATAGGTAAGAGTAGAGAACACCCCAGCGGGAATGCTGTCAAGGAATGGCTTGTCGCTATGTCCACGGGAGAGCTCAGCTAAGCGAGCGTGGGTTGCTGCGTGGTGGAGCATCACACTGCTAAGCTCTTGGTTGGCACTGTCGGGGTATGGGGTGCGGTTCGAGAATCGAAACCCAATGAAGAAAACCTTTGAGTAGAACGAGTGGCCGTTGTCCGTGGTGATCTTGGCGAGGTCACCTAGGACCAGTTCCTTAAACCCCAATCCGGTGACGAAGTCGTAGACAGTTTGATGCATCAACTGTACTCTGTTCGAGTCTAGGACCTCGACTAGCCCGCCACTGCTGTTGGTTACTCGCCGGCGGGCATCGGCTAGAGCTCTCGAGAGTGGCAAACATTGTGCGCCCCCTCGCTCGAAGACGGCACGTCCGCTTGCGAAGGTGTCCGAGGAAGCGTAATCGAGCGCGCCATCCAGTTCCAAGAGTGATACCTGACCTATCGTCTCTGTCGACCGAACGACCAACTCGAGCACAACAAAAGTCTCCCACCTCTGCGCCATGGAGATGCGGTGAATGATCCATGTATAGTAGTCATCGAGCTCCGTCGGAAATGAACGAAGTAACGCCCGCAGGTGGTCCAGATTATAAGGCCAGCGTACTCGCCCATCCTGGAGGGCAGCTGACAGCTCCTTGACGACTAGGCGGACCCAAAGAAACACTCCTTGGGCCGCTTCAACGATTTCTGGCACCAATTCACGTAGAACCTATCCACACGGCTCGGCAACGTCGATAGAGCCTAGACAATAATCGCGGATGTCGAGCTTAGTTAGGGTCTGCAGGCTGATGTTGGGATAGGTGCCGAACTGTTTCTTGAACACGTCCCATGGCCGGCTCGAGAAGCACACTTTGACGCGCGTAAGCGAAGACGAGGATCGGCCCGCAAGACAAGACAAGAAGCGGCAGATCATGTCCGGGTGCCCGTCAAACTCGTCGAGGGCGTCAAAGAAGAAGCAAATGTCCAACACAGTGTGCTGCTGGTGGAGAAGTAGTTGAAGGCACTGTTCAAGCTCTTGTATTGTCCAATCCTTGGCGTGAAATGAAGCGAGATCTTTGGAAGCAATGATAGGGGAGAGGAACGATATCAAATCGGCCCGCTGCTTGAGGATTTGATGAATGATACTCCTCAGGACACCCTCGAAGGACCGCTGCAGCAGAGATCCTCGGTAGTAGAAGAAGAAGCCAGCTTTGAGTTCGATCGCTTTGCCGAGCGGCCTATGTCGAAGCTCCCAAGTGCGAGGGTGTTCGTAGATGAACTTCATTATTGTTGATTTGCCCGATCCGGGTTTTCCATGGATCCAGAAGATACCCCCTTCCTGTGTGAGCCACTTCTGGAACGCGGGCAAGTCATGGATCCACTCGAATGTGTGTTTGAACTTGTCTTCGATTTGTGATACGCGGAGGCTGAGGTCCGGGGCGTCAAGCGAATCCTGGAACACTGGGCGATGTTAACTTCAACGACTCCGGCGGTAGCATGGGGCTTCTAGCCACATACCTTTAAGAGCGGCTTTTTCCCTTTCCCCCTTCGAACCGTCCCGGTGGGCCTTGATGAAGCGATTCGCGCCTTGAGCAGGCAATGGAGGCGCAGCTTGTTCCAGTGTGTCCTTCGTGACCTGGATGCTGTCGAGTAAAGTGTTATCTTTGGGTCGTAGCTGAGGAAGGCGTTTGAAGGAGCTGATCTCTTCCAGCTTGGAGATAATGACGTCGAGATCAGGATCGTCTGGGATGAACTTTACCATATCCGAATGGTTGCGGTTGATAGCGATGGTGAGCTCGGGAGATTCGTGTATGAGGGGGCAGGTCGCCGAGTCTGGATCAACTAATAGTTTCAGCGGTCCTTTTTTGTCATAGGACTGTCCTTTCAGCTGGCCGTCAGTTAGCTGAAGAGCGGCGGGCTCAGTTTCGGATGGCAGACTCACAACCGTGGTGTAGGACTCGGACGTCTCATACGCCCAAAAGAGTTTCATATGGCGGGTGAAGGACACGCCAGAAAATCTGTTGTCTTGATCTCCGAGGAAAGATGACTGTCTTGAGAGGTCGCGAACTAGTCGTTCATTGCTCTGCCCCTCAACCATGGCGCTGAGGTGTGACTGTTCCATGCCGAGTGATGGGACTTCAATGAAGATGCCGCCCTTGACCATGCTCAGCATGGTCTGGCTCTGGAGGGTCGAGCTGGTTGCCAGAGTAAGGAGGGCCTCCTTGAGGACAACACCGCCTAGGCTGTGGGCTAAAAACATGAGAGGCTTGCATGATTTGCCCTTCCACCCGTTGGCCTCAAGTTGCTGGATGAGTCCTCTGGCAAGGTGTGGGACTGTTTGGAACGAGCTGCTGCCGATGAGCTGTGTGTCGTACCCGTACAGGCAAACCCTGACACCGGGTAGGTTTCGAGGAAGGTCGTCTCGTGCCCACATGTAAGTTTTGTCGTCGCCCCTTGGGTGCCATGACCCAAATGGGTGACTTGCGAGGCCGGAGATTAGGATGCAGCTTCAAAATGAGTCAGCATTCTTGTGTGGCTTCAAACATCGGCGATAAGCCGCACTCAGCATGATGTGCCGCCGACTCCACGTCATTCAGCGGTGTAATCCCGAGGAAATTAGTATCGAGTACGAGGCTGCCGGGTTGATCGCGCAGAGGGAACGCCCGTTGCGTTTTGCTGGCGTCCGAGTTGGCGAGGAACGCAATCGGTCCGACGAACATCAGCGTCGCGACGCGGGATGGCGGGTTCTCTCATGGTTGCACGGTGATTGCCAGGGAGTACACCCGAATGCTTTCTTTTGAGAGTCCCTCAATTGCAGCGCTCAGGACTTTTGCGACATCCTCGAAGGTCCTTGCGCTATTGGGAATGCGACGGAGTCGGAAGACACGCGGTGGGGGTGCTGGCACCGGCGATGCTTCCATCCTAGGCCCGGGATCAAGGTGCCGCGAGAGCAGACTTGAATAACATTGTGGCCGAGCCGGGCAGTTGGGTGACAAAGGCAATGTTTTTTGATGCGACAAGAGGTTTTTCACGATCGGGCTCCGAATCGCGCCTTCCGGCACCATGGCTGTGAAGCGCTCCACGTGAGCGGGGTCAGCGACACCTCGCATGTTGCATATAGCAATACGTCCCCCCCAAAAAGAACACCCCTTTTATGAAATACACAGCAGAAAGTGCTCAGCAGCCTCATTTCTGTCCTCTTCGTTTTTGTTGTCGGCAGGAATAAAGGTCCTGTGGTGTCTCGAAGCGAGAGGCGACGGCTTTGGACGTTGATTCAAACAACAGTGGAGGGTCTGTGCTAGAAGAGAGGGTGAAGGTTAAAAATGAGAGAGAATGCGGTGGCGTTCTGGGGGCTATATGGCATTAGGTCGAGCTTGACATTCAAGTTTCGCTGGCACATGGACAATTTCATGGAAGGCAGCTGGTCAAATCTTGTTGATTTCTCTTCCACCTCAACGGTCACGCCGCTTCCACAACCGGGTATCACATTAGCGACAGTATCCCCATCCATACACCCAAACCCAAGACAAAGGAAAACCCAAAAGTGCTACAAAAACACCATCCCCTTCACTCACAAGGCGAGTCAAAAGCCTCCATAACCTCCCTCAACTCCCTCACATACTCATCGGCGCTAAACTTCCTAAACCCCCTCGCCGCCAACTCAACCTCCTCCTCCAGTATCGCCACCGCCCTCTCATGATTCTCCCCCGCTACATCCGCCTTCCCCTCCAACACCAACCCCAACAACGCATGCAGCGCCGCCGCCTGCTCAGCTTTATACTCCAACGGCGTCTCCGGGCGTCCGGCCACGGGGGTGACGTCCTCATCGTACGCGCTATCCACGTGCATGACCTCCGTCCATTCATCCTCCTCGGGCTGCGCGAGGGGTATCTTATCCCCATTCGAAACCCTCCTTCTGTTTCCGTCCCGGACGC